TGTGTGTGTGTGTGTGTGTGCACGCGTGTGTGTTGTCTGTTTTAGCGTGTGCACACTTGTGTGCGTGTATGTGTCAAGATATCCCTTATGCGTTACCTCTGCCTAAATGAGCCACTCTGAGATTTTTAAATATGTGTGTGTGTGTGTGTGTCTGTGTGTGTGTGTGTGTGTGTGTGTGAAAAAAAAATAATTAGTAGTAGGTAGTAACAGTTGATTGACAGTTGAGAGGCGGGCCGTAAGAGCAGAGCTCAACCCTCCACAATCACAATTAGGTGAATACAACAGTTGTCTAACTCCCGGGTACCTATTTACTGCTAGGTGAACAAAGGCAACAGTTGAAAGGAAATGTGCCTATCCATTTCAGCCCCACACAGAAATAAAACCCGGGATCTCTCATTGAGACAAGTACATAGTGCATTGTATTACAGGACTCGCACGTAACCAAATTCAAACAACTGTGTCATAGACTGTTGTACTTTAGAGATGTACCATGGCTCTCAAAGTTGTGGTTGATTGCCATGTCAACTATAGGGCTTAATTTAGTTTAGTTCATAAATAATGCACCCCATTCATATATGTTAACACTTCTCATTTAGTTTTAAGTACAGTATTAACTCATTAAATTTGTAAATAAATCTCCTAATTGCATGAATGTTCATCTGCTCACATTTTTGGAAACAGTAACCAGCTTTTCAGACAAAGGATTTCCAGTAGGCCTTCTTACCTTATATAGGCCTTCATCCAGTAGGCCAAATATACATGAACTTCTCTAAAGCCTTTAATAAGGTTTCACATGAAAGACTGGCAAGGAAATTACAAGCATGTGAAATAAATGGTAGAGTACTAGAATGAATAGAACAATGGATAAAACAAAGAAAGCAAAAGGTTCCCCAAAATGGAAATTAATCTGACTGGAGAAATGTGGTGAGTTGGGTACTGCAAGGTTCCATCAAGGGGCCAACCCCCTTTTTTGTCATTTACATCAATGATACTCTGTAATGAATGTACATCCTGTGAGTTGTAATGGACCCCATATCCATCCTGTAAGTGGTAGTGGACCTGATATCCACCCAGTGAGCAGTAGTGGACCCCCATACAAATTCTGTGAGTTGTAATGGACCCCAATATCCATCCTGTGAACTACAGTGGAACCAAAAACCTATCCAGTGAGTAGTAGGGGATCCGATGCACATCCTGTGAGCAGTAGTGAACCCCATACCCATCAAGTGAGCAGCAGTGGCCCTGATACCCATCCTGTGAGCAGTAGTGGACCCCCATACAAATCCTGCGAGTTGTAATAAACACCTATATCCATCCTGCGAGCTACAGTGGACATCATAACTATCCTGTGAGCAATTGGGGACCTAATGCCCATCCTGTGAGTTGTAATGGACCCCCATATCCATCCTGTGAATGGTAGTGGACCCCATACTCATATGTAAGCAGGAGTGGAAAAGATTACAGACATAATGAGTTCAGCAATTCTACCTCAAAATTTATTTAGCTAAGCAACTTACAGCACTTTGACTTTAACTCTTTGACTTCAGAAACAAAATGCTCCATTTATTATGCACATGGTTTTATTTTGAATGATTTTCATCTTTGGAGAGCAGTTGCCTTTGAGGATGCCTATGCCTGGCAGCAATAATCAACTTGACTGAAGATGGTGGTTGTATCCTCCAAAAGGAAGATAATGAACTGTGGTTGGTTCGAAAGCACGATATGCAGAATGTTGTTAAAGTGATTTTAATAAATTAAAGAATTAGATACAGTATGTAGTAAACAAAGCCAATATTTACCTAAAGAGCAGTGTAGAAAATTAGTGGGCATGGCATGAAAATTAGTACCATGCAGTAATAGGGAAAGATAAGATACTGGATGGTAGGAAAGAGACAGAGGACTCACGGTGAATGCTGGGAGCAGGTTGTGGGACGTGGAGGGGAGAAATATCAAAGTGAATATTGATAATGGGTGGAGAGAGAAGGTCTTTTAAGCCAAATAAATGCAGGCAAGGAAGAATAGTGTATCTGTTCAATGTGGAGAGTCTGAATGACCCATCCTCCTGGAGTTTACAAAGTAGCAATCTGTTAATTCATACAGGAAATTAGAGGTAAAGTGGGATGCATATACAGAATCTACCAACTTGTATCATAAGTTAATTACATTAACATTAACAATGGACTGGCTGATGCCTTTAAGAATTATTGCAATATTTGTTGATACTAGATTCTAATTTTAATTGAAAGCCTGCAAATTATGCACGTTACTCACCTGAAAGCTGTTGTATATTTTTTGGAGAATATTTGTTTCTTAAACATGTCAGGTAATATAGAAACTGTATATGATAATATTTTTACTTTAATTTGCCCATCATACATATTTTGAAAAACAAAAACACCCAACCAGATTCATGTTATTGTTGACACAACTGTCAGCATTGATGACACATATATTTGAGTTTTATATTGAAATATTTGGGAGTTTAGTGGTTTTCTTTGGCTTTGTACTGTTTCTAAGAACAGAATTATACTTATCCATGAGGTCTGTGTACATGCGGCGCAAAGTTGCCACTTCTTCACGTAGGCCTCCTACTAGTTGGTTTTTCTCATCAACAATTGTCTGTAACAAGAGATACTGTCAACACACATAATTCATATTCATTGAAAACAAAAATATTATCAGAAATATCTTTATCTCATGACTTATTTCCTCTAGAAGTTTATCCTTGAAATAGAGACTGCAAAATAACAAGTTTCCAGACTGCATTACTGGTATACTGTACTTAAGATTTCTACCCATCCAAAATAAGTGCAGAGTAATTTTTTACTATATTACAGTAAAATCATTTACAAAGATATCAATTTAAATACAAATTTTTTAATTTAAATAATAATTTTATTTAAGAAATACAATGGGGCCTCGACTTACGATGCTAATCCGTTCCCAGAGACGGATCGTAAGTCGAAATATCGTAAGTCGAAGCGATTTTTCCCATAAGAAATAAAGGGATTTGAATTAATCCGTTCCCCACCCTCCAAAATATTAACATACAAATACATTTTATACTGAATACAATGTTTTTTTTCTAACTACAATACAGTACCAAAGTTTCACTTACCTTTATGGAGGGCTCTTGATGGTGTATGGAAGATGGTGATGAGGCAGGGAAGAGGAGAGTTGTTACTGTTTGGAATGGGAGTCCCCTTCCATTATCACATCAGGCAGTGATGTTTTCTCTGGGGTACACTCTCTCCTACGTTTTGCCTGAATACCACTAGGACCTGGTTGTGGTTCAGTGCTTGTTTGTCTCACAACAAATTTGTCAAGAGACATTTGTTTTTCCCTTCTTTTTAACGTTAGTCGGTAATGATGTATCACAGTATCATTGAATAGGTTAAGGCAACGACATACTGCAGCTTGATTTGGGTGAGTCGTTTCAGCAAAGGTTTGCAATTCTTCCCATATTGCACACATTTTCTTAATTTTTGAGGAAGAAACATCCTCTACTGGCACATCCTCCCCTGAAGAAATTTCCTCAGCTACCTCTTCTTGCTGCTCCTTTTGAAGGGCTTGGAGTTCTTCGGTGGTCAGTTCTTCGTTGTGTTCTTCCACCAACTCCTCCACATCAGCACCATCCTACTCCAAACCCAATTGCCGACCCAGAGAAACAATTTCCTCAACAAGAGGCACTTCAGGTTCAGGCTCAAACCCCTCAAAGTCTCGTTCTGCAACACATTCAGGCCACAGTTTTCTCCAGCCAGAGATCATGGTTCTTACAGTCACTTCTTGCCATGCTTTGTCAACAAGTTTTAAAGTACTATAAATGTTAAAATGGTTTTTCCAGAACTCTTTGAGGGTGAGGTTTGTGGCATCCGTCACTTCGACACATCTCCGGAAAAGTGCCCTTTCATAAAGTTTCTTAAAATTGGCAATGATTTTCTGGTCCATAGGCTGAAGTAGAGGAGTGGTGTTGGGAGGAAGGAACTTTATTGTAAGAAATTTAAATTCCTCATCCAATGAATACTCCAAGCCAGGAGCATTATCGAGGAGAAGCAGGGCCTTGAGTGGCAAACTGTTCTCCTGCAAATATTTTTTGATGGCAGGGCACACCACCATATTCACCCACTCCGTAAAAAATTGCCTCGTCACCCATGCCTTAGCATTAGCCTTCCACATCACACACATTTTGTGTTTCTGCACATTATATTTTTTTAAAATCCTTGGATTTTCAGAATGATACACAAGCAAGGGTTTAATTTTCAAATCGCCACTCGCATTACCACACAACACAAGAGTAAACCAATCTTTCATAGGCTTGTGTCCAGGCAATGACTTCTCCTCCTTGGTAATGTATGTTTTCTTTGGCAATCTTTTCCAGAATAGCCCTGTCTCGTCACAATTAAACACTTGTTGTGGTAGGTATGCCTCACTCTGCACAAAATCTTTAAATTCGCCAATGAATCTTTCAGCCGCTGGTTTGTCTGCGCTGGCAGCCTCCCCATGCCTCACAACACTGAATTCCACTTCTTTTTCTAAATTTCTTAAACAACCCCTGCTAGCCTTAAACTCTTTCACTTCTGCATCACTCATTCCAGGGGTTTTCTTTAAAAGGTCTTCATGCAATTTTCTTGCCTTTTCACAAATGATGGCCTCTGAAACGCTATCACCCACTAACTCCTTGTTGTGTATCCAAATTAATAATAACTGTTCAACATCCTCAAGTGTTTGTGTTCTATGTTTCGTGATTATTGATATGCCTTTTGCCCCTTTAGCACTCATAATGTTCTTTTTCTTAGCCAGTATGGTGGATATCGTTGACTGAGATTTGTTGTACTGCCTAGCCAGTTCACCTACCCGCACACCATCTTCATATTTACGAATGATCTCTTGTTTCTGCTCTATGGTTGATCAGTCCAGCAACCAGGAGGCCTGGTCGACGACCGGGCCGCGGGGATGCTAAGTCCCGGAAGCACCTCAAGGTAACCTCAAGGTAAGGTATGGTCATTCTTACATGGGCTCTCATATGTTGAGCCTTACCACTGACTTTCCTGGGACTCATGGCATGATAGATAATAATTACTTTAATGTTCAAAATGCAAAAAATCACCACAAAAGCGGAATTTCTTATAGGCGCGATCGTCACTAAGCGGGCAGCTGTAGTAAACTGAAGCAGGTCAGCTGCGTGACCGGGAACCACGCGCTCAGTCGACCCGAAAGTGTACCAACAAATATCAGATGTCGACGACACCATCGGATGTCGAGTCGCATTTTTCGATGAAATTTATATCGCAACTCGAAATTATCGTAAGTAGGGGCAATCGTATGTCGAGGTGCCACTGTATACAATATAGAAAAATATGATACAATGGTATAGTAATTGTTAGTAAGTACAGTACTATATTTAATAAGGCCACTAATATACAAAGTGTTTCAGGTACACCTTAAAATACAGTAATGATCTTTAAAGGTTAGATGAGGTAGACACATAAAACTATCATAAAACTAACAAAGTTCTCAAGAAATTTAGCAAATTTCTTTTACATCTTTTAAAGAGGCCATAACACACACAAAAATATTTGGAGGAAATGAATGTGTAATGGGGTAATATTTTAAATAAAATTAGAAATGGTAACTTTTTGGATTGTTGAAAGTTTTGAAACCAATTGACAATTTGGATTTGGTTTTGGATAGTAAGGTGTCGCCAAAGGAACACATGAACATTGTGAGAGGAGTGTATGCGTTGCTCTCCAACTTCAGACTTGCTTTTAATTATATGGATGGTGAAATACTTAAGAAACTGTTCATGACTTTTGTGAGACCTAAACTGGAATATGCAGCAGTTGTATGGTGCCCAAATCTCACAAAGCACATAAAGAAACCGGAAAAGATGCAGCGGCATGCTACAAAATGGATTCCAGAACTGAGAAACAAGAGTTACTAGGAGAGACTACAGACATTAAACATGCCAAAACTAGAAGATAGAAGAAAAAGAGGTGATATGATCACCACATACAAAATTATTACAGGAATTGACCAAATTGACAAGAAAGAATTCCTGAAACAAGCAACATCAAGAACAAGAGGACAGATTCAAGCTAAGGTAACAAAGGTGCCCCAAAAAATTAGAAAATTTTCTTTTGCAAACAGAGTGGTAGACAGTTGGAACAAGCTAAGTAAGGTAGTGGTGGAGGTCAAAACGTCAGTAGTTTCAAAGTGTTATACGACAAAGAGTACTGGGAAGACGGGACACCACGAGTATAGCTCTCATCCTGTAACTACCCATAGGTAATTACATGAGACATTTACAAGCAGTAGTTGTTTCAACAATACACAAGTTACTGATTGTAAAACTGTAGACAAGATTTATAAAAAAACGGCATTGAATGTAATGAAACTCCATTTTCTGGGTGAGTCCCGGAGGCTTCCCAGAGCTATCCAGGCTGATAGGGATAGTCCTAACTTTTGGCATCAGTTGATGTGGGTGGAGTTTTTTGTTTTTTTTGAGATACTGTATATACAAGAGCTGTTACATTCTTGTACAGCCACTAGTACGCGTAGCGTTTCGGGCAGGTCCCTGGAATACAACCCCCGCCGCGAAGAATCGGTTGTTATAACCAAGTATCCATTTTACTGTTGAGTTAAACAGAGGCTACAGTTAAGGATTTGCTCCCAGTAAATCCTCGCCGGCCAGGATACAAACCCCATGACAAAGCGCTCGCGGAACGCCAGGCAAGTGTCTTACCACTAACCACGGAGACTGAGTTCTAGGCCTACCGGGGACCATGGCCAGAACCTGGCCCCCTCAAGAGAGGCACGAGGAGCAATGGCTTATAGAAATGCACATGTGATTTTGGAGCATTCTATATCTGCCATCAACCGAGACAGGCATCCAGAAAGGTAAGCACCCCAAAACAAACCCCCTATTCTGGTGAAACCAACGAAAATAACAAAACAAATGAACAGAACTCCCCCAAGGTGAAAATGAGCAAACAAGCATGATGTCACACGAACTGCGCCAGAAGTCTGCGCAGCTTTCCCCTTTCCAGGAGGGGGAAGGGGGAGCCCCAGACCCCCGCGCCGGCGATCCACAGATCCAGTTCCGAGGTTGGATATCAAAAGACACAAAAACCGCTGACTGGGGGGAGGGAAGGTTGCCGGGGAGCAACCGGGACTCCGGGACTCATCCAGAAAATGGCGTTTCATTACATTTAACGCTGTTTTTTTTGGGGGAGCCCCTACGGCTCCCCGAAGCTACTTCACCAAAGATTAAGGAAAAAGGGGACTTACCCGGCAGGTGGTCGGTGCTCCACACCTCAACTCGAAGTTGAGACAGGCTGCAGCCACCGACCCAAAGCGACAAAGGCCCGACTAGGCCCAGGAACGTTCATGATGTAGTGTCCAGCCAGGACCCTGTTCGACCGGCAAAAACCCCATGCCTGAATATCAGCCCAAAACGTGTTCCCAAAAACAGCAGCAAGAGCAGCGAACTTACGAACAGCATGGGCATGGGGATAGACCACAGGCTGGCGAGGCTTAATAACCCTGTGGACGACCTGAGAGACCCGTACCCGCGAAGAGGGAAGAAGGGAAATCGGATCAACCCAAAGCGCGTCCCCGAA